AAACTAAACCCAAAATAAAAAATGGCGTCTTCCCAAGAGGCCAAGTGGCTGCTGGAAAACGGCAACGTTAAGGTTCTGAGCAAGGAGACGAGGCACGGCCGCACGGCGCACAACCTGTCTTCTTCATCCCTTCGCAAGAAGTCGGATCTCTCGCTCGTTTCACGGGTTCGGGTCGGGTATTTGAGGCTGCTTTTGGGTAATTTGCTGGAGGTTTTGGTCGGGACAAAGCTCTCGTTTCTTTTTCTGGCGATCCCGGCCGCCATTGTTGCTGAGCATCGAGATTTCGCGAGTGTGAGAATTTTTTTTATTTTTTGAATGAGGTGAAATTTTAGTGGAAAATGAATTTGTTAATAGTTAGACGGGTGGACCCGTCATACTATTTGAACAAAAATAGAGCTATCGCGGCCCAATTAGGTGAAATTTTGGAAAATGATTTTGGATTCGTATATTCATGAGACGGTCTAACTATTAGGCGAGTCGACTCGTCATAATATACGAACAAAAATAGATACTTATGCATTTATACGTAGACTAGTAGATATCCTGTGCACATGCACAGATGTATATAAAATATTTTAAGTAATATTTGAGAATTTAATATTAAAATTCTAGACAATGAACATATTACATTTTCAAAAATTTGATCATTAGGAAAAATAAATTAATGATTTTATTATTTATCAACAATTGTTTATTATCATTACATAATAATATTTTGATTATTATTATTATTATTGTGTTATTATTATTATTATTATTATTATTATTATTATTATTATTATTATTATTATTATTATTATTATTATTATTGTTGTTGTTGTTGTTGTTATTATTATTATTAAGAAATAATTATTTATAAGATTTTAAAATTGTTTGACTATGCTATTAAAACAATTTACTAAATATTTTTAAAGAAATTTTTTCATAAGATACAAAAAGAAAAAAGATAATATTGATTTTAATATAAATAACTTGAAACAATTGTTTGTAATTAGGTAATTTATATTTATTGTGAATTATCATTAGTTGGTATTAACAATAACTATTATATAATATAATAGAAAAAATACATTATTACACTTAATAGGATGTATTAATGTGAGAAATAAAAAAATATTAATGATAAATGTCGTAACCGAAAATGGAGAGAAACTTTTTAGAGGTTTTATTAAATAGGTTTTATTAAATGTTGTATGTTAGCAATTATATATATATAGATATAGATGTGAAATACCGTTTTTTTTTTTTTTTTGTAAATAAAGTATATATGTAGTTTTGCATTTGCATGGAGATTAGCTTTGATTAGTCTCCTGATTTTCAGTTGATTATGATTATTGTTATTAATATTTTTTGTAATTTCGATTTTCAGCCATGGGTTTTTGCTTTGAGTTTGCTCGGACTCACGCCGCTAGCAGAACGAATCAGTTTTCTGACCGAGTAAGAAAAATAATATACATGTAGTTGATTTTTTTGCTTTTTAGTTTTTACATATTATATATACTTATGGGAATGCTACATTACCGTTACGGAACCATTCCGTCGAGATTTGTAGCCGTTAAATCATTATATAACCATCGTGGATAGTTGATCTAATGGTTAAAAATTTTATGGTTCCCTAACGAGACCGTAGAATCTCTTTTTTTTTTTCTTATTAGTGAGTAATTAATTATTTATTAATTAATATGAAGGTAAAAACAGCTTATTTTATAAATATGCTTCAATGCAGGCAAATTGCTTTCTACACAGGACCAACAGGTAGTTAATTATCTTAATCTACTTCTTAATCTTGTACAGTCCCGCTCACCTGCTCACGGTGGACAGTGCCCACTAGTTTGTTTTATATGAGAATACATTTTTCATATAAAACAAAGGGGATTATATTTATAATCTTGTATATTTTTTTGGGTTCATTTTTTCCTTATTTATTTGGTTGTTTTATCACATGTCAATTAAATTAAGAAATCCTTATTCATTATTTAAATGTTTTTTCTATTTTGTGTTATACCAGCTTTAACAATTTAATAATTAATGACCATATTATAAATTAAAGTCTTTTAGAATTTAGTGACAAGTCAAATATTATTGATTTTTTTACCTTAAAATTAAAAAAAAAAATAAAGTGCTGGAACAATAAAATATGTATGTAAAAAATACACAAACAATAAAATATGTATGTAAAACATATTCTCATCATACGTGTTTTTTTATTTTTTTTTTTACATTTTTTTTTTTTTTTTTTT